CATTTTAGGACCATTGTTATTCTTGTTGTACATTAATGACTTACCAAATTGTAACTTGATATCTGATGGACATCTATATGCTGATGATACTAGCTTGACATATGCGGATAACGACATTAATCAACTACTCTCCGTAATGAATAGTGATTTACTTTCGCTTAGAAATGGCTTAACATAAATAAGCTCAGTCTAAATACACTTAAAACAAAATGTATGTTCATCGCAACTCGACACAAATTAGCTACCTTACCAAGTCAACCAACAGTGGCCATCGATGGCAATATCATTGAGCGAGTTAAAAAATACAAATGCTTGGGCCTGGAGCTGGACGAGTGCTTGATGTGGGATGAACATATTGCTCAAATTACCTCAAGAATTACCAAAATAATTGGGGTTTTAAGGCGATTAAAATCATATCTTCCGCGTCGTATCCTAATTTTAATCTACAAATCCTTGATTCAACCACATTTTGATTATTGCAGTAGTGTTTGGGGTAATTTGGGTAAGGGTCTGGCACAAAAACTCCAACAATTGCAAAACAGAGCCGCTCGTATTATTAATGGTTCTCACTATACAGGGTGTATAAAAAAAAACTGAACAGATTTGAAATTGCTCTCAATTTCGCAAAACACCTATTTGTATCCGTTTTTTTATATATATAGCTTCTTTGGGTACTTATAATGTAGAATAATGAAACAAATTTCTCAAACTCAAATTTGATGAACCAGGGGGGGTGTCTTTTCCAACAAACTAAAAATGGCTCGCGCACAAAATTTAAAAGTTTTAATCATATTTTGAGTTAATAGATGGAAACTTTGTTTGGTTTTTAATTACTGTACAAAATTTCAGACAATTTGGTTTAGTGTAAGCCATTTAACTATTCATTTTATTCTAAAAAATCAGCCTTTCGCATGCTTAATTAATGCCTTTACCTAATTTGCATATTGCTAACATATGCAAATTAGGCAAAGGCATTAATTAAGCATGCAAATAGCTGATTTTTAGGAAATATGTAACTTTGCGTGAATAGTTAAACGGCTTAAACTAAACCAAATTGTCTGAAATTTTGTACAGTATTTAAAAACCCGACAAATTTTCCATCTATTAACTCAAAATATGATTACAACTTTTAAATTTTGTGCGCAAGCCATTTTTAGTTTGTTGGAAAAGACACACCCCCCTGGTTCACAATATTTGAGTTCAAGAATTTTTTTTCATTATTCTACATTCTAAGTACCCAAAGAAGCTATATCTATAAAAAACCGGATACAAATAGGTGTTTTGCGAAATTGAGAGCAATTTCAAATCTGTTCAGTTTTTTTTTATACACCCTGTATAATGGCCTAGCTTGTATAATAATATATATGTATATATGTAAAATACTTGTATAATTTTGAAATTGGGTTGGGTAAAATAAAAATCCAAGTCATGCAATAGTTGGGTAGGGAAAAAAATGGTTGACCGAAAGGGTGGGTAGTTGTTTTTTTCTCTTTTCGATTAGTTTCTCTTCGGTACCAACCCCGGGTATAAATAATGAACACTCCCTTACACCCGCTATTTTCACTGGTTGACCTCCTCACTCATCTAAAAATTATTGTGAATGTCAGGACTCAGGAGTGGGATTTGAAAAACATCACTGATGAGAAACCATAAAAATCGTTAATGGGACAAGAAGCGAAACAGTTTTTACTTACAATTATTCGCCGAAGTCGAAGTGATTACGGGTGTCGTGAATATTCACCGAGACGAAGTGTAGGTGAATATTCACCGTAATCACTGAGCCTGAGGAGAATAATTGTTTTAGTATAAATTTTAATGAATAAAACAAAATATCCAAGTTATCCAACTATTAGTTTAATTAAAATTCAGAAACAAAACTGTTTTCGACCGGTTTAATACGGTTACTGTTTTAGTGTTGCAGTGTTTCTTGTACACGCACGCTTTCAAAATGGCTTTCTGTGTGATTTATTACAAAGTTGTTTTTCTCAATTTCTGCTTAGAATATAAACACAATGTCGGAATGACTTTTTCACCAGACTTAGAATTAAAAAATAGTTTCTGTTTAGCATTAATTTGTTCAGGAAATGGCTGAGAAAATTGGTAAAATGAAATGTAAAACTATGTCGTTCGAAATATAAAAGTTTTAAAACACTTTTCACTTTTATACAAGTTTCCGAAAACACAATAGTACAATACAGCGCCGGTCATGCATGGTCAAGACACCATATATTTAACAATTATACCATGAGCTCGAGTCGTATATGAGCTCATAGCCGATGAGGTGCGTAGCACCGAGTCGGCTATATCAGCCATATACGACGAGAGAGAATGGTATAATTGTTTTATAATATAGTCTAATAAGCAATTATTGGATTCGGCTTTCGCATGATACCAAGAATTATCCAGACCGAGGTCAATGTTATCTGCCGAAGCGAAGCCGAGGCGGATAACATAGACCGAGGTCTGAATAATTCTTGATATCATGCGAAAGCCGAATCCAATAATTGTTTTATTATACATTTAAAGACATGAGAAATATTAAAACGATAAATTCCTGTTCATGAGATAGGAAAAGTACAATTTGAATATCAAACACCTTGCACAAAGTCAAAGGTCAGCTAAATATTCTATTTCTACTTCTATTTACCCCTTTGTGGCTTTTTTCGTGCTTTCACTATCCTTATCTGCCAATAATTTGGAGAGTTCACTTTCAATCAGTGAAGCAAATCTGTTGTAGGCCATTGTTTGTTTGTTTTTTTTTCGCGCGCTTATAGGTTCAAGCTTTTGGCCGCGCAAGGGTTTGGGCACGAGAAAGTCCAATATTTTTTTTTTTTGGATGCAAATTCGATCCCAAACAAACAATTATTGGACGCTGATGACGTCATCGGCGGAAAATACGTAATAAATGCCGAATACTGAAAATTAGCCGGTGCTTTCTGACCAATTACAAACGAGAATACATATTAAATGTATAATAATAGCCATTAGTATAATTACATAGGTGATTATTGAAAATTCTCCACGCTGATTGGTTGCCGTTGAGGTGATTATTACGCGATAATCACCTAAGCGATTTTCAAAATGGCAGCCGAAGCCTTTAATTTGTCAATTAAATGACACAGAAATGTGTATTTTCTTATTTTTTTCCAAATAATCACCTATGAAATTATACTACAACAATTATTCACCTCAGGCTCGGTGATTATCGTGAATAAAAACCTCGACTTCGTCTCGGTTTTTATTCACCGATAATCACCTCGCCTTCGGCGAATAATTGTTAATTAACTGAAGCAATAATTAATTATCCTCCCTTACAATGTCTTGACAATTTGTTCGGCCAAAAACCGCTTGGCCTTGAAAATTTGAAATACAAACGACTCGAAGACGAAGTGAAAGAAATGGTTTTAGAACCGGTATGTCTTACAGAAAAGCTGAGATATATTATACAGATGTTTGGTAGTATATAGTAAGTGCTTGTTGACTGCAAATTCATTTGTCTTTTGTTGCAAACTTTTCTGAACAATTTATATTCTCAACGAACATGTTTCTTTCGCTGTTGTTTCGGTATTAATTCTTTAAAAAACTTGTATCTAAACTAATTTCTATGTAATAAATGTATTTTGCTAACCTGTCTGCAGGAAATGGCGGAGAAACTTGGTAAAATGAAATGTAAAACTATGTCGTTCGAAATATAAAAGTTTTAAAACACTTCACACTTATTTGTTTGAAGCGAATGTTTCGGAGTTTTAAATAAGTTTTAAATTGTCCGTGAATATGTTTGACACAGTAAACTGATAATAAAGAAACCCTACCTTTCAAGTTAAATACAACATTTTGTGCTTTTTTCGTTTTCTTGGACGATTTTTTCAATAGTTTGTCGATCTTGAAACCAAATTTTCCGAATCATTCTTTTTTAACAGCATTATTTACTAGCACACTATTTCAAACATGGAATTTGTCGATAAAAGCTGTTAGTTTTATGAACATTTGACATTTCAAAACATTTTATGAAGCGTTATAGCCTATAGGACGGCTAGGTTGTATTTTACATTAAATTCCTCAAGACCAAGTACCCCCCTTACTTACGGCTCTAGATCATCCAGCGATAGACGCATGTCAATATTGCCTGCATGCTGTCTCATATTTTGAAACTACTTAACGGAAAAGGGTTCCTTTCAAATTTATTCCATATGTGATATGGTACTTGCAATATAAGATAGAGACTGCATATTGCGCTGCTAAACGCCGGAAAACTACAAACAAACAATTTACAGATTATATTTGTCTACAGGTACAGGAAACGATAGCCATGCATCAAATCACGAAAGCAAAAATTACCAAAATATCTGAATATTTACAAATTAAAATATAAATCGATTGTACATTACATGTACAGGAATGTTTAATACGTAATAATCAAATAAGAAGATTATAAAACCCAATATTTCCTTATTTTCTTTTACTATAGCATGCCACCTTTGCAACTATATAAGTCCTGTAGTGCAGGTATAAGCTTATAAGCTGTTTCACACTATGCAGTGCCAGTGAACATATAATGATTAGTCACCGAGCTTATACCGACGCGAGTGAATTAATTCCTTAAGCTTAATTGAATGTTATTGGTGCCAGTGTATAATATATATAGGTATTGCCGCAAAGAACGGTTGCGGTCTTGTGCATGTGCATTAACAACTGCCCAGAAAACTAGGAGCCAGATGAAGAACTTTCTCTCGAGACATCAAAGTTTGTTCTTATTATTCCGGTATAGTTGCATTCATTATTAAATAAACAATCCCCGTATATTATACTTTTTTAACCCCCACAGATTAAGAAACCAATCCTATCGGCATGCAGGCAATGCAATAATACATCAATAAATTCCTCATCCGTCTAAAATCAGCAGAATTTAAAATACGGATGCCTGGAATAAATATTATATAACTTGTGGAAGAGACAAAAGAACTAAACATATAAGAAAAAACATAAAAGTTTTTCAGTGAATGGAAGCTCAATCGACATTTACAAATGCTGAGTTCTGTAAGTTGTAACTGCAAAATGTAAACCAAAATATTGAATAAATTTTACAAATTACAACAATTAATACTGTCTTCTTGGCATTCAGTTTGTTATAGGTGTGTGGAGACGCTCGATCATTTCCTCTTTTTTATATATTTAAGGATTCATACTTACTTGGCTATAAATAAGTATAATGAATGAGAACAATATTATACGTCTGAAATGTCGAGCGAAATGCCATGGTCAGGAAGATAGTATAGACAGACTGAGTGACGAATAGTCAATGCTTTCAATTCGTCTAGATCTGTTTCTGATTGGTCTCATTTAGCATGTATGCGAAATTGATGACTTTTTCTGTGGTTAGTGGTTTCTGATTATTCTGATCCACAGCTTGAACGAAATTAGAAATACCTTGAAAACTTATATAATCCTCTTAACTTCGACCGATTGCTCTATGAATCGATGTTGTATTAATATTTTCATGCTAAAACACATAAACTCATAAAGGGATGCCAATTTTCCCCGCCGAGCGAACATTTCGTGTCAAGTGAATGGATATTGACAGTGTATGTGCAAAATGCATGTACAAAAGTGCAGTGCTGACAGTCGGAGGCGTCAAAATGTTTTGTGATTAGTTTATAATTTGTACGTGCGCATCTGACCGCCACCACAAAACGCACGGTTCTTTCCTTTGGAGTTTTTATACTGATATTGTGCGTAACTCCTCATTTTTTATTAAGCACGGCTTGCTGTGCGCTTTAGATTGATTTAACAGCTGGAGAGCGCGCTGTTGTCCGGGCACTGCAGCATTCACGACAAAGGCGTCAAACAGCGAGTAAAATATACACAGCACACAATCACTAAAGTATATTGCACTGCCGCGTAGCTGAGCCAGAGAATATAAGTGATCATTGATCGGACTGAAAAGACGAAGAAAACGGTATCATTGAATTTTCTAGTTAAACAGCATCTTACAATGTACCAAAAACCTGTGATTTATAGTTTCAAAAAGCATTAACCGTCAATATATCACCGTACGAATATAAATGAGAAGCGGAGTATTGACTATTAGACAATAATTATTTGTTTAAATTTAGGTACTATTTAAACCATATCTCAATATGGTAAAGTTGCATGGTAGCTATTACAGTGATATAGGTAGTATGCATGCATGTACAACACTTGCAGTGGTTTGACGAATGCTCAAATACAGGCGGAAACGAACAATATGATTAATTACAATGCATTGTGTTGACGTAGTAGATCTTTCTCTTCAAAATTTAATGATTGAGTTAATAAATGGCATATATTCAGTATTATATATGCTACAGTTTGAACTTTGAAGATTGGATATGTATGTTTGCGCGGGTGTAGATGTATATAAATGTATAGCCGCGTAGGAACATTGATTAATGTGTTGACGTAATAAATATTAGTTGTTCAATTATTTGTTTAATATTGATGATTGTCTTATTGCAATGACATATTTCAAAGCAATTGCAGAAACAAAGTAAAGAGAGTGTATACATAAGAAGTTATATAGAAATTCATATGTGCGTTTTGTATAGACTAAACTTAAATTATTATACGTTTTAATTAACGGAAGCTTCAGACTCGTCAATAATTATTTTGTCAGAAAGCGGACGCGATATACCTTCATTTAGATACAAACACAAGCCCATCTGTATAACATTATAACATCATCTAACCACATGTATCTAGGCCAACGACTTGGAAGAATGTACATTTATCAACATTAAAAAATCTTTTCTTGGAGAACCCCACTCAACTGTTGAAAGAATTAATGGAATGTATACAAGAGTTTCAAATAATCATCAAATCTCATTTAAATTTAGGCCCGGTGGTCTGACTTGATGAAGAGGACAACAAGAAATACAGTATTAGTTTGAGTGTGAAGTGATTCGACTCGTTTTGCAGATTCGTGATTGTCTGACCTTGTGTTGAACTTTCGCGGGGAAGATTTTTGAAAGAAATTAAACCCGAGTGTTGTGTACAGAAGGCTTTGTCTTGTAGCGTTAATAGAAAGTGTCAACTGTGCATTGGAGTCTAAATCACAGTTGTTTTTGGTAAGTGTCACATAATAATGTTGTTTTAGTAAGTCTCTCTTATGAGCGGAACTTTAATAGGGACTAAAATATGACTAAAATCCACATTTCAGTACATCTGTATCTGCATGCGTGGACGTACCTGTGTCTGGTAAGGCAATATGCTTCAGCTCTAGCGAGAAAAAATAAAAAATCACATAAAAATAATAATAATTGTTCTTTAAAATGCATTATACAGAAGTCTCAATGCTTTTTACAACAAGAACATAAAAACAGTTAATCGGTAAAAGCTATCCTAAAAAATATGTTTTCAACTTTGCCTTAAACTCATCGATAATTGAACTCGCTGCTTAATTAAGAGAGTCAGGAAGAGTTCCCCACGGTTAAGAATTTTTAGAATTTGATGCATGCAAGTTAATTTGCCTGTTTTAGGACGGCAGACGTATATGATGACGGCCATGCATGTTTGAGGAGGAAATAGCTTGCATATAATGCAGTATATCTAAGATAAATATCGGAAGACTGTGTTTAGGAATTGACCGACTTTGTCTATATCCAGGGCAGAAAAAAGTTATCCTTTGTTGTCTGATTGACCCCGCTTGTAATTTGCTACACTTTTAGCCTGTGTTCATATGATAAACTGAACATTAGTTACATTAATAGACATTCGATAGAATATACGGATTTTATGTTCCTGGAAAGAACAATAATTCACACCTTCACTGTATACGCGCACTCGTGGGTTTATTGCTCATGTTACTTCAACATGCATACGACTAGTCGTATACGATTCTTTACTTTACTTTAAATGAGCTTTATTAGCATGACCCCAAAAAATTTACAGGTATTGCTAAAGCATTTTTTACAATAACAGTTAAGGATATATAAAAAAATAAAGTTTTATCTAATTACAATTTTTGAATTATATATAGGCTAGTGTATTGAAAATATATCACTGTTATCACTGTTCGTGATGTTGTAGTGTTTCAAGAGTTTCTGGCTTCAATGCATTCATTTCGTCTTATGAAACAACTATGAATGAATTTTGAAAATTCATTCTGTAGTATAGAATCACTAGATGACATGAAGAATAAAACATCATCATGGCATTCTAGGTTCAACGCAAAATTTCTTTGTATTTTTTCAATAAAAATATTTCTAATTTGAGCATTATTTTTACATGAAAGGACGAAATGGTATTCGTCTTCAATTTCACCAGATTCACAAAATTCGCAAATTCTTTCCTCACGAGCAATGTTTCTAATCCTGTGTGTAAAGATGTCCCATTTCAAATTTCGTCGTTTTCATACGCCAATCGTATACGATTAGACTAGTCGTATCGTGTAAATGGACCTTAATTAATATCCAAATCTTCTGGCAGTTTTTTAATTCATATAATTTATATATTGTTTCTACAGAAGAATGGATAATCTGCCCAACACTTTAACATTAACCCCAGCGTGGGAGAACACGGTAAATGCCAGTGATAATAGTCAAGCTGAGAAAGTCCTAGATAATATACAGACAGTATTTCTCGTGTTGGCCTTTGTCATGGTCGCTGTCGGTCTTGTTGGAAACCTCGTGATTATAATTTCGGGACTGCGATTGCCGCTGACCAGAAAGAAAGGCATTACCACGGGCTCAAGGTATTATATCATCAACTTAGCGTTGGCCGATCTATGTGTGCTAGTCGTTGCATCGGTGACAAACCTTGCTCCGTTGTTACACCCATGGAACATTGGTGAATTTATGTGTAAAATGCTTCTGCCGTTACGGGATGTTTTTATACTCGTCTCCTTGGTAACGATCACAACATTAAGCTTGGAACGCTATTGGCTGATAACAAGACCACTCCAGCATCAAGGCAACAAGAGCATCGCTAAATTGGTCTTAATTTGCATTTGGATCGCAGCGTATCTTGTAAATGGCGTACCATTGTTACTTGTCACGAGGCTCATGGAAGGAGAGGGTGGCTGGACTTGCAGACTTCAATATCCATCGGTGAAGTTAATGAAAGTACACGTCTGCTTCGGTATCGCTATCATTCTTGTACCTTTCCTTCTGGTGACATTTTGTTACATAGCCATAGGTGTCACATTAAAGGATGTTTACAAGAGACGCAGTCAAACTATGTTACAGGCATGCGATGAAGCTGGAAACAAACACACGGTGACATTAATCATACGTAGTAAGCGACTGGTCAAAGTACTGATCGTGCTGGTTGTAGCATTCGCCATTTGTAACCTGCCTGTCGTCCTCTACACATTGGTGCATTTCTTTTACAAAATCAAGCGGTTCGAACACCAAGAAATCTTGTTTACCTTTTTTCAGTGTATGATGGTTTACGGAAGCGCTATAAACCCGCTTATTCTACTTGTAATGGCATCAGAATACAGACTGTGCGTCGTGGAGTTACGAAAGCAAATGGGTAAGCTTGGAACTGCACTTTGTTGTTGCAGTCACTTGAAGAAAGAGTTACCAGACCAGCCGTATTGTGCTATGTTGCAAGATAAAAACATGCCAGCCACGCCAGTGTAATCACGCAAGGATACAGGACTTAATCGAGGGATACCGCAGTTCCAGTTTACGGGTACGAGTGATATACTGGACGTACCGGTAAACCGAGGTACGACTTGCAACTTAAGAAATCCAAGATAGTATTCCGGGTTACAAAAACCGATCGGAGAACAAAAATTTTGTTGTTAAGGTTCACCATAGATTTGGAAAAATTTGACGAGTAAATGTGCATTCATTTATTATATAATTATAGGTAGGATGTTGAAATATTCCACTACTTAAACACCCTACAAATAGAAAACAGAAAACACCCGTGCCCGTTTGTCTTTTACGTGTAGACCATGGTTTACCGTGGAGAAACGGGTAGAAAGTACGTGGAAACATGCTGACATCAGCTAAATTTGGTAAACAAAATAGCGGTAACCAGCATTCGTAAATCTTACCCTCTCTCAGTTAGTACTATTACTTACTTTTCACCCTCTCGCTCCCATAATAGAGCTGTGCAAACTCCGGTATTTTAGCTCCGGCTTCGGATCCGGCAGTCAAAACTCCGACTCCTGCTCCGGCAAAGGAAATTTTAAGGACATTTCATATTTAAGAGTAGAAGCAGGCGAAAGTATTTCAGTGTAATTTCAGAATTATTTATTTTATTCCTTTTTGAGCTTTCTCCTTTACTTATCAAATATACGTGCTTCGGTGCTTGTTTAAACAATATTTTTTGGAAAGTAAAACGCCTGGCAGCGTGGTATTTTCGCCCAAAATACATTGGAGTCAGCGGATTTTTGTACCAAAAGCGATAGCAATGCGCTTGCAGAATTTTCGAAGCCACGAATCGGATCGGAGCAAGTAACTTTGTAAGTAACTTCAAATCATTCAACTTAATTTTTCCATTACCAAAAATTCATTGAAATATAAAATAATTTTCATAATTTTGTTTGCCGGAGTTTTCCAACTCCGGTAAAATACGCCGGAGGTCCGACTCCGCGCACAGCTCTATCCCATATGGTCGTAAAAATAGAGTCACGATATTTCTCAAGTATTCTCTAGTTATAATCACTCCGCGTATTTTCAGTTCTGAAATGTTGTATTTCGGCTATATGAGAAAGATCGTGACTCAATCGCAACGACCGTTACGTTACGACCATATGGAAACTAGACTTAAAGGGTAATAGGGAAAGGGCCTGTTCATATGAGCCCGCGGTCTACCAGGAAGCTCACCAATGATCTGCATTCATTATGTAAACTTGGTGTCTTCGAAATATGTTTTGTTGTAATTAAATAACTGTACCTCGTTGAAGCGTTCATGAAATCACACAAATTGAATTTTATAGGCGTTAACAAAGGGTATGCATGCAGATTTACTCAGGTTGGGCTTACAGTATATGCATGAACAGGCCCTCAAGAACAGAACCTCATGAACAGGCCCTCATGCATACTTGAAAGCCTCTGCAGAGGAGAAAGCTTTTTACCTTGGTGTTAATTAACCTTGTATGTCACTTTCCGTTCCACTCTCCGATGCCGTATACGTCATGTTAGGGCAAGACAGAGAGTAAAAGTGCCGATTTTTTGGTGGAGTTGAGTTCGATGCATTGAACTTAAATCAGACCAGAAAAACGACATTTAATTGATAAATTGCAATTCAAACCCAGAGTAATAATTTGAAAACCAAAAATGCAGAAACCCGAAGCACAGCAAGGTGTAGGTTATTTATAAACATTCACATACTTAATTCACACATATGGAAAAAAATCTTTGAGTGAACGGGTGGGTTTTCGGTAAAATGTGTATATTAAAATTAAAATGATTTGTGAAGTCAACAAGTTTACGTCTAATTAAAGGACGTACTTCTTTGAGTTCTATTGAAAGTTTCCTACCACATTACCCCGCCCTAAATTTTCAGTCTGCTACAATCTATTATTTCACTGCAAGTTTCCTTGCTGTTGAGGTGTCATTGTCGACAATTTTAGTTGACATATGTTTCCTCGACAAATATTTGGCGTATGCATGGCGTTGTGAACCACAAAAATAATATTATGTATACGGCATGGGGGTGTGCTAATCATCCTTTCCTGTAACTACGAGAATAGGAGGTAAATGACGGGGGACGCAGCTAACCTAACCGGAAGCTTAGTACAACTAACGATGGAAGGGTTAACTTGGGATTTACCCCAACCCGCCCGTTTTGCCTGTGGAGGAAAAGCGGGGTACCCAAATTCAATTCAATAATATTAAATTGAAAACGATATAACTTTTAAAATCAAAAGTTTCTGTTGGGGATTGTAAATAAAACTAACTGTACATACTTTAGCGTATTTTGTTGACATTTTGTAAATAATAGCATAGTAATATAATATTAGACTTCGTGTAAATACAGTTGCAGTAATGCCCCAGCAGCATGTAGATCACAAATAAAATATAAATATTATTTTCAATCGTCAGTTGAGTAATATACCATGCCGGCCCGTGCATGGCCTCAAGCCAGGCGATATCAGTTACGAGGTGATATCAGTATTATCGCTTTCAGGACCATAACATAAATGTCCCTCGTTCGTTGCGCTCACTCGTAACACCCATCGAATCCCTCAACGTGCAAACCTTCTCAAAATACCGCCCTAAAATTGAAAGATGGAAGCGAAAAGGCCGAGAAACTAGGATGTATCCACATTAATCATAAGAATACTGTTATTGCAAATTTGCAATTACCATTACACAAAAAGGTTCCGCACTTTGTTTCATATAAAGCAACATATTTAACCCACTGAGTCGCATTGGGCCCCAATGCGCCCTACTTTATTATTTCACTCTGTTGTAACGCCCGAGATATACTCGTCACCGGGAAAGCGCTGGCGCCCAATGGGTTAATCAGACTATCTGCGATGTGTCTATAGTTAACCCAATGAATCGCATTGCGCCCCAATCCGCCCTACTTTATTATTTTACTCTGTCTTACGCCAGATGATTTTACTCGTCAAAGAGAAAGCTCTGGCGCTCAATGGGCTAATAAAAGAATACCAAATGGTTTTCCGTGCAGGAGAGCGTCATCGTTCCACGCACGCGAGATGTTACAAGACGTTCGAAAAGGGTAAAACACGAGCCGTAGGCGAGTGGTTTTTTTAGGCTTAACGAAAGTCGAGCAGCATCCCAAGTTAACGGATGACGCTGTCCTGCAGGGAAAACCATGCGCATTCGGTGATTGTTTTATGAAGGAACTACAGTGAAACATCGGTTATTTTATCAAAACGTTAACTTTATTTAACCGTTATTTAAACGGTTAACTTTATTTATTTTATTATAACTTTATTAACGTTTTTGTTAACTTGGCTCTCATTCAATATACTGTTAACTTCACACGTTAAAATGTTTTCATTGTCCAATATTTTAAAATGCTCGCGCGAAGGCATTTAAATTTTCCGTGCAGGATTGTCTGATCGGGTATTAACCAATCAAATTGCGTGTTTCACTAGTTATTATCTATTCATGTTTGCTTACATGTTTTTCTCCTACTGCAGTGCAATAATAATGTTACATGAAAGCAATTCAACACTCTCGATCAATCAATGGAAGCCCACATTGCCACATGCAATGGAAGCCCACAAGCTTCACATTCCGAAATTGTACAGCGCCAATTGCCAAAATGATGTTGGCGGCGAATTTTACATACATCACTGCTTGACTAGATCTTTATCACTGACAATACATCCAGCTGTGATTCAGTAATATTTGGGGATTTGTTCCCAAATTTGCCGCGCTAACATCTGGCGCATAGTATTTAATTTGTTGTTGGCCCCCCATGGATGCGACCGAAAATTAATATCATTGATTTAGTTTTTTTCATTATATTTTACATTTAGTCAAATATTGTACAAGTTTTGACCAAATAAATTACCCATATCAACATCTTCGACAAACGATG